GAATGACCATCTAATTTGGCTTTTTATTATCCTGTCTTAACATCCCATAGACGGATAGACTTATCCAAACTACCAGATGCTAAAGTAGTACCATCAGGAGAGTATTAAATTGAAAAAACACCATCTTTATGACCATCAAATTTGGTTTTTTATTATCCTGTCTTAACATCCCATAAACGGATAGAGTTATCATCACTACCAGATGCTAATGTAGTTCCATCAGGAGAGTAACAAATTGAATTAACTGTATCAGAATGACCATCTAATTTGGCTTTTTATTATCCTGTCTTAACATCCCATAAACGGATAGACTTATCATCACTACCAGATGCTAATGTAGCACCATCAGGAGAGTAACAAATTGTTCTTACATTTCTAGAATGACCATCTAATTTGGCTTCTTATTTTCCTGTTTTAAGATTCCATAAATACACAAATTCTCCACTGCAGAAAGCTAATGTACTATTTTTAGTTGAGAAACATATTGATTTTACTTCATCCTTTTAATTGATTTTAGATTTTATTTTTCCTGTCTTAACATCCCACAATATAATCGAATTGTCATCACTACAAGAAGCTATTGATTTACCATCTAGAGAAAAGCATACCTAATTGACACTTCCATTATGACCTTCCAATTTATTTAACTCATGAATTTTGATATTCTTCCAATTACAATTAAACATTAACGCTTGATTCAAATTTATTCCACTAATATCGACATTGTGAAATTCTGATCCATTGAATATGCATCTTACAAAATTTCCACCAACTAAAGATGTATTTCTTATCCTAATATTCTCAAAACTTTATTCCCTCAAATCAACCTTCATCTAAACTAGCAAATGAAGAGAATTTGATCCACACTTAATGTATCTCTCATCTATAGCAGTCAGATGAACTAAAAATTTTAGGAATTCTATTATCTTCTTATTCAATGATATTTTTATGATCAGATCCTTTTTAATTTCTTAATAATCATCTATTGAATAATTCTGTGTATTAAAGTCATGATCCATAACTTTTTTGAGGACATCTGTTATTATCTTAATGTTCTTCTCTCCATTGATAGTCTATTCTTTCTCAAGCAGAGATTAGTTTTCTACCTTTTAACTCTCTATTTCTAAAAGGAATTTGTTTTGATCTTACTAGAGAAATTTTAGGCAGTCTTAAATTCTCTCTTTTTTTAATATGTTTATGAGGATAGGGAGGAATACTTCATCAACCTCATTGGATAAGGACAAAAACTGATACAACTCTACAACTTACTCACTTTGGTTCATTTACCTTTTTTCAATATTATTGAATTTCTATTACTTTATTTTGAGTTTTATATTAAAAAACCAAAAGTATCTTACACTACATGTTTTGAAAGATATACAATCGATTTAGTGTTTTGGATTAAAATTGTATAAGGGATAAAGATGATTCAACATTCATATATTCAATTCATTACTTTCAAGTTTAAATCTTTGGTATTGAATGACTGGAACTCACTGATGGTTAAACCTGAGAAATTTAATTAATTTGAAAGAGTCATTTTTTTAAAAACTAAGTTTAATTAATCAAGCGTGTGTTTAAAATGACTCTGACTTTTGACTGATATAAATATTATTTCTACAGGTTATAGATTTATAATTAATTAAACATTTTTCTTTAATAAATCTTAATTAAAATAAATTCAATATTACTCTGTAAAGATTTCTTGCCTATATTTGTTGAATTTATTGATCAAATCAATTCTATTCTCTGAGGCTGCCTGATACTTGAATATAAAAACAAAACAGATTTACAATCTGAATCACTTTTATTTGTTTTGTAAACTCAAAAGTAATACAATATTTGAGGGCATGATGGCAAATTTCTATTTGTTATGTCATTTGAAATAATAAAATAATGTAATTTAGATTAATTGTCTTTGAATTTCTGATATATACTTTAACTAAGAAAATTAGCATCACTAGCATGAAAGTTAAACAGAGCTTTTTCCGTCTGTAGGATTCAATCATCCTTTAGAATTGAATAATGGTATTAGATCATTATCTTAATAAATTACAAATATTCCTTTCGAAATTAAAGCTCTCAGCTATTTTTAAAAATTGAGAGATGTTAAAGTGGCAATTTAAACCAAGAAAGAAGGTCTTTGTAACAATTATCTTGAGGTAGAATCTCTTGGGTTGTCTCAAAATCCCATATACAGATTGAATCATTTCCACTACCAGATTCTGATGTAGCACTACCGTGAGAGAATACCTGTATTTTATTTTTTAAAGATATATATATGCCTGTATTTTTCTTTTTTATAGATAATTATTTATGCCTTAGGACAGCAATTTTTCAAAAGAGTTTGGAACAAGATTGTTATAAGTATATTCATATTATTTCCTACTAACAAATTGTTATCCATAAACAATAATAAAGGTTCATAAGTTTAATATCTACAATTAATTTGAGAATGAGATCAAATATTAAATATTTTATGACCATCTAATTATTTTAAAGTGTAATCTTAGGATTTTACCTGTTCTTCTATTAAATAATTCTATTTGTTATTTTTAAAAATGTCATGCAAGCTGTTATGATTATAGGTTTAATCATAAATAATGAAGTATTTCTTATTCTAACCAATTCTTTTGTTTTCATTCAACAACACTAAAGATTTTTAGTTAAGGTATTTGGAATACAGAATAATCTTTTTCCTTCT